ACGGTCTTAATGCCACACTTAATTCTGCAAATGATGGCCGTAAATTTGGATCCCTGTATTTTAAAAACGATTTATAAATAGTGTGCACTAATTTCCTATGTAAATGTAAAACAGTAAAAACACTATCGAGTAACTTTTGAAACTTGTGGTTATTTTTTTCCGGTACATCAAAAAAATCCCAGTTACTCAATGGAGAGGGATTTAGTAGAGGTAACAGGGGCGTTCTAGTACCTGGGTCAGTACATTATAGATCAAGTGAACCAGTAGATAGATAAATAGGACGGGTACATATTACTCACATTTGCCAACATTCCCATATTATCCTAGCCACATGAGGGTCAAGTTCTTTGGGGATTTCAAGACGCCGATTTTGGAAACCAACTGCACCTACAACTTGCATAGGGTTCATCCCACTCCATGGTAATCTCATAGTCGCAAGCTCCCAGAGAATAACACCAAAGCTATAAACATCACACCTATTATTCATGTAGCAGTTCCATAAATGTAATTTACACTCCTCAGGACAGTAATATACCCGTCATTTCAAGGTTTCCAAATAAACGTAATAAAGCGTATCTTTATGCCTTTTTTAGGTTTCAAAATATACAAGACAATTCACAAATCTTGTGCACTATTTTATTCATTTATTCCAAAGTTGTTCTTAGCCCTATTTATAAAAACTCTATTTCCATAAAGATTATGATTTTATTCATTTATTCCATAATTGTTCTTAGCCCTATTTATAAAAACTCTATTTCCATAAAGATTATGATTTGGTAGGTACGGGATGGTCATTAATAACACCTGTCCTGCCACCCCAAATCACGTCCTTTTGAAAGCTAAGGAATCGGTACCACACCTATCCAAGAGTCATTGCTCAACCTAAGATGACTAGAAGCTCCAGAAAACACTCGATGAAAGAAACTAAACAAAAGGAAGGGAACAAATCCAGATCACTGTGACAGCACCAAAACAAAGCTAAGGATATGAAAAAAACCCTCATCCAATATCAAGACAGCGGGTTGCTAACCCTAGATGCCCAGGGAGGAATATATACTTCTTAAAGTGTATCAATTTTTTTTAAACATTTTTTTTTTAAATTATCGCATTCTAAGAAGGGGAGCCTTGGCACACCGGTTAAGGGGTGTTGCTGTCACTGTGTGACTGAGAGGTCAAGGGTTGAGTCTTGGGAGTGGCTTTTCGTCAAAAATGACAAGGGGAGGCTTGATCCTTATACACCCTTGTAGTTGGAGCCCCCATACCCTTGCTTTCTCCTTGTAGGAATGCCAATGTGCACTGGGCTGGTCCCTTTCATCACATTCTTTTTCAGAACTTGAAAACAAAGCACCTCACTTTCTTATTAACATGTTACCATGGACACACATTACAAAAAAAACCTATAAATATGATTAATATTTGAAACAGAGGGAGAAGTAATTCTTCGATTGCAACATCAACCAACACCACTTTTAGAAACACTGTCTTTGGGAAAAGGGTCAAATAGACCCTTGTACAATTGTAGATTGGTCACTTAAGCCCATGCACTATAAAAACCATCATATGAATCCATTTACTTTAAAAGACAATCAATTGAGCCAAATTACCTGAAGGTAACCTTTAATAGCAGGTTATCCTACTTCTCTTCTCCCATATTTATTTATTTTCGTTTTTTTTTTATTTCCTTAGGCCGCGTAGTCCCTCACTCCCACAACCCAACCTTCATCGTCATTTTCTTCTTTGTTTCTTGTTTTTAATTTTTCGTTTTACTTGTTTTCTTCTTTTTTTTCGCATCATTTGCAATGGAGCCAAAGATTCATTATTTTTTGGCTTGAGAATATGATGGAATAAAGCAAAATGGCTCACTAAACTGTCTGCGCTTCTTTGTTATGAAGCAGCAGTCAGTCCATGCAATTTCGGACGCGATTTTCCCTATGGGTCATCCGGAAACAGTCTCTCTGTGCTTTAGTACAGTGGTAAGACTGCGTACATCCGACCCCCCCTTACCCCACCGTAGGTGGGAGCCTTTGCGGCACTGGGGTAAATGAAAATGAAAATGAAATGACTTGTTTTCTTCTTTAAGTTTTCCCATCTTTTTTCTTTTAATTCATTTTTAATTCCTCGTGGTCGTCCCTCCATGGATGTATGTCGCGGGATTACAATCATCGTCCGTTCCTCCAAATCGTCGGCGCCTCATGAGAAATGTACAACAATTGATGATGATGGCAAAGGTGAAGAAGACAACAGGAATCGTCAAGCTAGAGGTGATGCAAAATGGAAGTTTTGGTAAGTAGAAGAACAAGAGTACAAGACACACACTTTGACGTGTGAAATGCAGCCGTTGCAGCTTCCGGCCACCTCCAAATGAGTCGGTGTTCCTCTTGTTCCTCTTGCTCCAAATTATGCATTTCACGCATCAGAGAAAGACTATTGGAAGTTGGAACTGGCCGCATGAGGTATCTCCTCATTATGCCGGCAGATTCACATCCAATTTCAGAGAACGAAAGGTGGCAACTCCATGGAACAAGGGAGCGGCAGTAGCCTCTTAAATTTCATCTCTGCTTTTTTTGCAAAGCTTTTTTTTTTGCTTCTAAAGCTTGCCCTACTTTTATCAAAAACTGTGTCTCTTTAATTGTAATAGACTATCATTTGACGTCAATAGAGTTGGGATTGAAGGTTATACATATAAAGACTAAAGAGAGAGATTAAAAATGGCAGCTGCTAGAAGGAAGTTGAGACGGGATGCGGAGAATGAAGAAAAGGAAAGAGAAGAAAATGAAAAGAAATGGAAAAAGAAAAGTCAAATTTGCTCTTAACCTGCTAAGAGGGTTGCTTCCCGGTAAACTTGACTATATTGAATGTTTTTAAAGAGTAAAGGTGTTTAAGTGATACTTTTATTAGTATTGAAACCCCAGGAATTAGGGGATTCCTAGGGTTTCTTTATTCCTAAAATTTAGAGCACCTTCCTTCCATACACCGGGGGGAAAGGAATTGGATGAATTCCTGACATATAAAACTAGATTTTATCTATTTCCGTTTAATTTTATTCACAGTAATCCACACAATCAATCCAAACTAGGCCAAAAATGGATCATTCCATGGTATTGACACTGATGTGAAGATTAAATAGGAGCAACATATATTGATTCAACATCGAACCTGGAAGGGATAACAAGTAAATGAGCAGTTTAACACTCACTTTTCATTTGAAGGTTCATTACGTAGAACTTCTGGCGCCATCCACTCGGGCTACAGGGGTTAAAATTTAAAACAAGTGCATAAAGATATGTAGCAAAAATTGGATAATAAAAAAACAAACTCATGGAATAAAATTATAGGAAATTCTTACTGTTCCTGCAGTTGACTTGGATGACAGGAAAGTGTTATGCTTTAAGCGTGACAAGCCAAAGTCACACACCTATATTAAAAGACTTAGCGTATATACAAAAACATTAAGCACATACTTATAAATGAAGAAAATACTAATATGCATCTGAAGATGTTATGATGACAAACACATGACATTGGAGCTTAGTGATAGGTCCAATGCATTCTTATCTTTTCCCTTGCATTTCATAGAGCTTCTTGTTAGGCTCGGGGCAAACTGAGACCAAGAGATGAACTCAAGGCAAACGTAGTTCATGCTTTTTTTGCATGAAATCATGAACTGTGTTACCCAAGAGATTTTGCGAGTTTGTTTGTGTTATGTGCTAGAGTTCTTGCGTCATGGGAATGAAATATAAATGATAAACGGATAGGGGGTGGAATTTTCCCTTCTCCCTTGTTTCTTCTGAGTTGTTTCTTGGATATCTTATTAGTTTAACAAAGCTCCCTTTTATGATAAGGATTACGTGGCATGAAAATGGCTAAACCAAGGGAAATCCTAACTAATCACTTCCTAATATAGAATAACTAATGACGGTTATAAAATCAAGTTAGAATAAAACAAACCAAGCAAACCAATTAGCTATTACTCATTCTTCTACTTAATTGCCCTTTTAATATTATAGCATAGCACGCATCATTGTTGATATTTTGATTCTTTAAACGTAAATGATGCTTATCGTAGAAGACTATAGATAGACATAAGAGACAGATCAACTTCCGCCTGCTGCCACAGTGAAATGTTCATTACTGCCCACTTGTGTTGACAATGATGGGCCACTCACGAAAAAACAAAGTTCTTTTTGGACCACGGTGACTAGAAGTAACATGCCTAACAAAAATATGGAAGGAAAAAGCAGCAGGAGATGGTTCCTAACATTATGCGCCAGGCCGCAGAAGTAGTGACACAACTTTATTTATTTATTTATTATTATTTTATTCTTTTAATTTGTTTTCTTGTTTCCAAGTCTAATCATCTCATTGAATAAATTTAGTTGCATTTACATTTATCATTTATTTCATTTCATTTACTCATAATAAAAAGTTAACGATTGAGCAAACTTGCAAGGACTCTTACATAACATTTCAACGTGTTATGTTGCTGGGCTAGAGCTCGCGTCAACCGGCAGTTGGTGAGGGCAGAGAGATGGGATTCTTCTATTTTTGCAGGTAATAACGAAAAATAAGGGAAGACAAGGAAGGAGATAAAACTTCAGGAATTTTATGGAGTTCCTTTCTCCTTGATTAAGTACTTAAGTCTGGCTTGTTTATTATTCAAAGCAGGACTCCCTACTTATGGTAAGGGTTACAAGAACCAATAAGGATTACATTAAATCAATTCTTAAAAAAGACTCATCTAATGATGGAAAGCAATAAAGTTGCAGATCAAAAGCGGATGGGGACCTAGCCGCAGCTAGGGTTCTGAGTTTGGTCGCGTAACTTTTTATGCAAGTTCCACGGTCGTTTCACGGCAATTGGCAGAAGGGAATCGGTGGAGGAAGTCCCGTTTCTTGTTTCTCGACATGGAGGACGGTTTCACCACGGAGCAGTGGCGGAGCTGTATAGGTGCAAAGGTGTTCATATGAACACCTAGATTTGAAAAAAATAAGGTAGTATACATGTATAAATTTAATTTAATTATGTATTGCCTTTTCAAATTTTAATTATAGAAAATAAATGAACACCCATAGTTTGGAACATAGATCCGCCACTGCCAGGGAGGGAGTTGAGGTGCTAGCAAATGCATATGAGCAGTTGGATTTGGAAGAGGAACATGAAGTCCTAGTGGTTGAGCCGATGACGCATAACTCTTCGAAGCACAACTTGACTCTGATTGGAACTATTACTTCAGAAAAGTCGGTACGTTTCACTCAATTTAGAGATATTATGGCGTCTGTTTGGAAACCCGAAAAGGGTGTTACTATAACTGAAATCGGCCCTAGACGATATGCTTTTCAATTCTATAATGAAGAGGATATAAATAGGGTAGCAGATGAGGGACCACGACTGTTCGATCAGAACCTAATTGTTATGAGCAGATTGAAGGAGGGTGATATACCTATGTCTGTGCCGTTGAACAAAGCTGATTTCTGGGTCCAGGTTCATGATATTCCAGTGGGTTACTTCACCTTAGACAATGCGGAACGTATTGGGAATTTTCTGGGGACTTTTATAAAAGTGGATGAAAATAATTTCTTTGAGAACTGGAAATCTTTCATGAGGATTCGGGTTTGTATTGATCTGGGAAAACCCCTAAAAAGAAAATTGATTTTGCAAAAGGAGGAAGGTGTTAATTCCGCGTCAGGTTTTGTTACGAGAAACTGCCAAGCTTTTGTTTTCTGTGTGGAATAATAGGTCATGCTGAGAGTCACTGCCCTCGTAAGAGGAGGAGTTACGAGATAACAGGAGAGAGGCCGTTTAGGTCTTGGCTTAGGGTAGCGAAGGGGACAAAGTAGTGGAAAGAGAATAAGTAGCTCGTCCCAGCAGGTAAAGGCATCATTTCGAGTAGCCAGACCAACGATGGAATTAGTGAGGAAGGCAAACGTTCAAGCATCTTGGAAGGCGGGCCCTCAACAAAAGAGAGAGGGAAGCTCGAGCAGAAGCGCAGACGTGTGGAGGATTCGGAAGTTTACCAGACGGAAGAGGAGATGGAGTTAGTACAGGCCGGGGGGGAAAACGGGGAGGAGGCGAGCTACAATTTTATAGCTCGCCAGGCACAAAACTGACAACAGCTCTTTCACAGCATGGGGGAACAAATAAGGCTGAAGGCCATGAAGTCTTTATTATTTATTACGCTTTTTCATTTTTGTATGCTCATGTCGTTTTTTGTTTCTTTCAGAACTCTAGAGGCAGGTTGTTGGTTTGTTTCTTAGTTTTTACTCAGAACTTTCGCGTGGGTGGAAGCGTTAAGGCTAAAGATGCTCAAATTCGCAATTGGATATTAGGGTCACTCGATCCTCATATTATTCTTAACCTATGCCCCCATCGCACAGCTAAAGCCATGTGGGCTTATCTACGACAAGTTTATCATCAGGATAATGCAGCCCATCAATTTCAGTTGGAGTTGGATATTTCTAACTTTCAACAAGGTTCCTTAACTGTTCAGCAATACTATTCCAGTCTTTTAGATCTTTGGACTGAATATATCGACTTATGCCTCGCTAACGTCCCTGAAACTGCTGTTGAGCCTCTTTGGGATATGTTACAAGCACGGCAGCGCAGGCAGTTCTTGATGAAACTGCGCTCCGAGTTTGAGAACACTCACTCCTCTTTAATGAATAGGAATCCAGTTCCGTCTCTGGAAGTTTGCCTTCGGGAACTACTTCGTGAAGAGCAGCGTCTACTTACCCAGGCTACCTTGGAACAAGGTCACACTCCTGTTGCTTATGAGTGCCACACAGTGTTATTCTTGCAAGAATTACGGTCACATTGCGCAGCATTGCCCTAATAAGGTATGCAGTTATTGCAAGAATTTGGGACATATCATCAAAGATTGCTCTATTCGTCCACCCCGCAGAAAAAATACCGCATATCAGGCTACCACAAAAGTTGTGGTCACTTCTCCAAACGTGTCAAATACTCCCGTCTCTACTTCTGCCACTTCTATTACACCTGAAATGGTACAGATCATAATTTCTGCTTTCTCAGCATTGGGAATTCAAGGTAACTCTTTACCCTATTCTAATTGGTTTCTAGATTCTGGAGCCTCCAATCATGTGACACATTCGGTACATGGACTCAATAATATCCGCAAATATGAAGGTTCTTTATCTATTGAAACTGCCAATGGTAATAAGCTGCCTATTACCGCAATTGGTGATATTTCTCATCGGGTTAAAGATGTATTTGTTTGTCCCAAATTATCTACAAGTCTTATCTCTGTTGGACAACTTCTTGATGATAGATGTGACGTGAAATTCTCTTGTGATGGTTGTCTTGTGCAGGATCAAGTGTCAGGGGAGCTGATAGCGAAGGGGCCTAGGATTGGACGTCTTTTTCCTTTACACTTTCCTAGATATAACTCAGTTTCTGCTTTTGCATGTAATAAAAATTCAGGATCGGTGTGGCATAGGAGACTTGGTCATCCGAATCCTCGAGTTCTTTCTCATTTGTTACGTCTTGGTCTTTTGGGTAATAAAGAGAATATGTTTTCTCATTTTGATTGTGAATCATGTAAACTAGGCAAAAGCAAAGTTCTTACTTTTCCATCTAATGGTAGTCATGCTTCCCATTCTCCTGTTGTGTCTCATTCTCATCACAAATACTTTGTTACCTTTATTGACGATTATAGTCGTTACACTTGGATATATTTTCTTCGATCGAAGGCTGATGTTTTCAGAACATTTCAAAACTTTCTTGCCTTGGTAGAAACTCAATTTTCCACAAGTATCAAAGTTCTTCGTACTGATTCTGGTGGGGAGTATATGTCTCATGAATTTCAAACATTTCTTGAATCTAAGGGAATCCTATCTCAACGATCATGTCCTTATACTCCTCAACAAAATGGTGTTGCGGAACGAAAAAATCGTCATCTTCTTGATATCGTTCGGACCTTACTTATAGAATCCAAAGTTCCTACTCGATTTTGGGTTGAAGCTTTGTCTACAGCAGTTTACCTAATAAACCGACTTCCATCACAGGTCTTGGAGTTTGAATCACCTTATTTCTGGCTCCATAAACGTCATCCAGTGTACACTAATCTTCACCCTTTTGGTTGTGTGTGTTTTGTTCATCTTCCGCCCACAGAACGTCATAAACTTTCTGCCCAGTCTGCTCGTTGTGTGTTTCTGGGATATAGCATTAGTCAAAAGGGATTCATGTGTTTTGATCCGCAAGAAAACAAGTTGCGAGTCTCCAGGAATGTTATATTCTTTGAAAATCAGTATTTCTATCATACTTATTTTCCTAATAACTCATCTTCTGTCATATTAACTACGTTTGAAAGTGTCTCTAGTCCTCCTAGCTCCAGGTTCAAAGGAATAGTGTATGCTAGACGCCGTCTGCCAGACTCTTTGCCACCTCCTTCCCTGCCAT